TGTTGAGCCATATCATTAAGGAGTGCAGTTACAATTGGGTCTGATGGATCTAGCTGGCAAATGAGGCTCTAGTGAAGTCCCTCTAAAAAAACAAGTTTAGTGATATTAACTAGCAAGCAATTATATGAGCAGATAAAAAATGACTGTTTGTATTAATGGGCTATACCCACATTTGCTCTAGGTTTTGGAGCTGACAAAATTCTTTACTAGAGGAGTTCAGTGATTTACAAAGCTAGTGTGAGGCAAGCAGTATACAATGAATGAAAGAAAAAAGAGTAAATGAGAACTATTCTAGGTTGGTTGAAAAATGGCTACATTTCATCTTGTATTCAGCCCATTCAATCAAAAATGCAGTCTGTATCTTCACCTCTTGCATCTGGATTGGGCTCATCACTCGATTTGACCAAGGACACTAAGGGGGAAGTGATATTGTATCTCTTTAAAGTGTACACCTTAAGGAAGCCCTGCATTTTTGTGCAATTTCTCTTGGAGATACAATAAACCAGGGCTTGCCTGCTGGAGGATGAGGGGCAAAGTACAGCTGAGGCCGGTCTGGAAGAGTCAGTGCTTCTCTAACCTGTCCAATAATTTCACATTATGACCACCCCAGCTGAGATCTCTGAAACCTAGCGCATGTGTGCATGCTAAGTCACTCAGTCGTGTCCGACTCTGTGTGACCCTATTATGGACTGTAGACGGCCAGGCTTCTCTGTCCACAGGATTCTCCAGGCACGAATACTGGAGTGGGTTGCCACGCCCTCCTCCAGGGGATCTTTCCGACCCAGGGATCAATCCACATCTCTTGTATCTCCTGCATTGCAGGCAGGTTCTTTACCACTAGTGCCACCTGGGAAGCCCCTGAGCCTAGTCCAGAGGTCAAATTGGCAGAATCATCCAGCTGACCTATGAGCAAATATAAATATGTATTGCTGTATGCCATTGGAATTTTTATGGTTGATTTTTATGCAGTGTTATTGTGGTAACAGATAATTAATACAGGAATCAACAGAAGGACAAGTAATCAGTATTATGCAGTTTGAATTCAATGTCTGGCAGGGTGACTGAGAGGAAGGAATGAAAGACATGGATGCAGTCAGTGCTTGACTCAGAGTATCATTGCAGGGGCTCCATAAATACTTGTTAAATGAACTGCAGCTTGGAGGTGGGAGGGGAATAGAGTTGAGCCAAAAAAACATTAAAAGAGAAAAGAAAAAAACAGAAAAAAGCATAAAAACACTTTGGATTCTGAGCTCCCTGAGGACAGGAGCCATGTCTCTAATCAGTGTTTTCACCCTCACCTCATAGCAATAGCATGTGCTGCAAACACTACAGGTATTGGTAATAAGGAACAGGAGGCTCAACAAACAAATGGTATTCTGCTCCAGGACTGGCTTCACTTGCTTTTGTAGAAAGCTTTGTGATTTCTGCTCAGTTCAATGAAGGAAGATTTCTGTTGGCATTTTCTCTCATTCTGTTTCCCTAGTTAGATGCCAAGTAGTTCTTATGTCTCCAGATCCCTATTTTCAGTTTGCCTGTATTTGGAAAGATTCTATTTTTGTACAGTTGACTGTAGCACAGTAATCTGGGGCAGCCAGAGGTTTCAATAGAGCTTTAGGCCGCAACTTTTAAAAACTGTGTTCACTTCAGCAAGCTGCATAACAGCTTTAGAGAGATTGATATCCAGTTATTAACTTAATTTTTCTCTCTGTCTTAGTGTTGATTATTTCTGCTAGGTAACTAAAGAGGTAAAATCCTATCTTCTAAAATCTAAAACATCAGTGGTAGAGACGGTGGTAGAGGCAGAAAAGATGAACTTCTTTTTCCATCACACTAAAACTCATCTGAATCAAAGTTGGCAGCTTTTTGGACTCTTTTTCAATTGAATCCATGCTGGGGTGCCAGGCTTTGGATCTGGTCTCCTTAATCAAGACTGCCTTCCCTCACATGCCCTGCCCACTCCAGTCCCATCTTGACCAGCTTGCTTTAAGAGCTAAGACTCTGGAGCCAGACTCAGTTCAGTTCAGTTCAGTTCAGTCGCTCAGTCGTGCCCGACTCTTTGGAATCCCATGAACCACAGCTCAGCAGGCCTCCCTGTCCATCACCAGCTCCTGGAGTCCACCCAAACCTACGTCCATTGAGTTGGTGATGCCATCCAACCATCTCATCCTTTGTCGTCCCCTTCTCCTCTGACCTCAATCTTTTCCAGCATCAGGGTCTTTTCCAATGAGTCAGCTCTTTGCATCAGGTGGCCAAAGTATTGGAGTTTCAGCTTCAACATCAGTCCTTCATTTTAACTGTTGCTTCCTGACCTGCATACAGGTTTCTCAAGAGGCAGGTCAGGTGGTCTGGTATTCCCATCTCTTTCAAAATTTTCCAGAGTTTATTGTGATCCACAGTCAAAAGCTTTGGCATAGTCAATAAAGCAGAAATAGATGTTTTTCTGGAACTCTCTTGCTTTTTCAATGATCCAGCCAGACTGCCTAGGTTCAAATCCCATCTCCTTCATTTAGTGGCTGTGAATTCTTGGTCAAATTATTTAACCTCTCAATACCTCAGTATTCTTAACTGTCAAATAATAATCATAAAACTAGTATTTACTGTTGTTGAGATTTAGATGAGAATCTACTTAGAAGGCCCAGTGCAGTGCCTGGCATAGAGCAAGTACTTGTTCTATGTTAGTGGTTATGATCTAATCAATTAATTGAGCTGATAAACAGTTAATGTATATATACTTTCCAGGTGTATTTGCTTGTAGACTGGTGTTTTTGTTTTTATCATTTTTTATTTGAAAATAATTTCAAATTTTTGGAGAAGCTATAAGAATAGACCATAGAATACCCATATATTGTTATCTAGATTCACTTATTGTTAGCATATTACTCCCTTTGCTATATCATTCTTTGTCTCTGGGTGCATGTGTGTGTTTTCATAAATGTGTGTTAGTCACTCACTTGTGTCCAACTCTTTGTGACCCAATGGACTGTAGCCCACCAGGCTCTTCTGTCCATGGGATTTTCCAGGCAAGAATACTGGAGTGGGTTGCCATTTCCTTCTCCAGTTTTCATATATATGTATATATAAAATTTTTTGGAACGATTTAAAAGTAAATTGCATATGTCATTAATTTTTATGCCTAAATACTTCTCAAAGAATAAAGATAGTCTCTTACATAATCACAGTGTAGTTGTCAAATTCGATACACTTAACATTGATATGATATTCTTATCTTGTCTGTATTATAGTTGTGTCAATTGATCCAGTAATGTCCTTTATAGCATATTTTCTTCTAGTAAAAGATCCAGTCTGAGATCAAGTATTGTCTTTAGTCATCATGTATCTTCAGTCTCAGTCAATCTCGAACATTTCTGTAGCTAATTTTTGTCTTTTGTGACACATTTTAATAGATTGTTCAACATTTTAAGTTTGTCTAGTTTTTTCCTCATGATTATAGTAAAAATGGGCATTTCCGGCTGGAATACTGCACAAGTGAGGCTGTGTCCTTTTCAGGGTGTCACACCTGGAAGTGTCCATCTTCCCTCTGGTCATATTAATATTCATCACCCTGTCAATCATCCAATTTCTCCTCTGTATAATTACTATTTTTCCCTTACAACTTCCAAGCTTTTTGTGGGGAATCACTTTAAGCCCATGCAAATATCTTGATCCTCATCAGATCTTCCTCCTAGCTTTAGTATTCATTGATGATTCTTAACCTGATCTATGCAAAATACTGATTTTCCAATTCAGGGAGTCTCTCCTTATTTACCAGTCAGTGTTTGGTGTTCTGCTGTAGGCGAGAATCCTCCCTCTTATGTCAATATTTGCTAATGGCTCCTTTCCCTAATGTGGAAATGTTTTGGTAATTTTGTTGAATTCATTGAATGTATATATGTAAGTATTTAGGTCCTTCCTTCCCTCTTATCTTCCTCCTTTGCTCCCTCCTCCCCTCCCTCCCTTTTTTTCCTTCCTCTCTCCCTTATTTATAAGGATTCATGAATTTCTGTTTTTCTCAATGGTTTATAATTCACTATTCTCCTTAATTACTTTGGTGCTCAAATTGTCCCAGATATGGTCAACGGTTTTTGAAGTCAGTTTTTCAGTTGCAAAGCTTCATAAAGGTCACAGAGGGATTCATTTTAGGGTCAGAGGTAAGCCTGTATCACTGAGAAGTTGTATTGCTGTGGTAGTTGTGAGGTTTTTCTACAGAAGAGGCTTATCTTTTCCAGTAATCTGAAAACTACATTGGCTTTGTTTTCTTCAGATGCTCAAGAAGAGAGAGAACATTTGTTTATTGTACCTCCTGCCATTCCTTTGCAGTTGTTTCACAGAGACCAGGACAAACTATGGAATTCTCAAATTCAGGCTTGTTCAGAGATACAAGGAAAGACTACAACTCTTTTTCACTGGGGGCTCCAAACTCTTGGGAAGGGAAATTTCCTTGGTCAAATTACAGCATGATTATCTCCTTTTTTTCTCTCAGGGAATATTTGACTGTAAAATTGATGCTGTAACAGTAAAAAAGCACCTGGTAATATAGTGTCACAGCATATTTATTACTCCTGGCACTTATTATACCACAAGATTTATTTTAGGCATTAATTCTACTTTTTAATGCAATGCTCAAAGCTGTTTCTAAATCTCCATGTTAGGTAAAACTGATTTCCTACATTCCATAAGATCTACACTGAGCATTTTCTGTTCTAAAAAATACCCAAGCTGCCCTTCTGTTGAAGTTTCACTAGCTATGAAAGTAGCTATCACTACCAACACTTACTCTGTGTAGGACATTGATATAAACACTGCACTTATACTGATCGGTGAGGTAAATTATTATCTCATTTTACAGATGAGGAAACTGAAGTACAGAAAGATTAAGTAACTTGCCCAAGATCACACAGTGGCTAAGGTAGAATTGAATCCAGTCAGTATGACTCTAATGTGCTAACTGCTAAGCAGAGACAGGTGAAGGGGGTTGACATTTCTTGAAGTTCTTAACATACCTGATATAATGAATGAATGCAACAAACAGGCATCCCAAGTAGAAGGAGAAGAAGATGAGGAAACTGAGAAGAATGGATTTCACATAAACGGATCCTGAGGAAAGAGAATAGATCTGGTCAGGATGTCCTCAGGAGAAAAGAGGACCATGTTTGGGATAGGACAGCTTCACAGGCCCATCTGCATCACACCCATTCTTAAATCCTAAAATAATCCCATTCAAAGCAGGGAAGCTACTGGAGGTCACCCAGTCATGGTCCATAAATGACCATAAATGGCTGCCTTTCACAGTGATGACTTCCTTAGGGGAGCTGGGAGGGACTTCCTATATACAAAATCATAACTGACTTCCCTTTCTTTCTATAAGGAATTTAACAAAATGCTTTGATTCTCTCTTCTATCTCTAAGGTAAACGTTTGGTTTCTTATGATGTTTCTCTGGAAGGATGACATTAGCACTGAATGACATGATCTCCTTCTTGACAGGAATCTCTCCACTGAATCCCGGTACAAGGAGAAGAGGGCAGCAGAGCATGAGGTAGTTAGCATCACTGACTCAATGGACATGAATCTGAGCAAACTCTAGGAGATGGTGAAAGACAGAGAAGCCTGGTGTGCTTCTGTCCATGGGGTTGCAAAGAGTTGGACACGACTTAGTGACTCGACAATAACAACCAAAACTGACCTTTAATGGAAGGAACAATGGTCACTTGAAGGTTCTTTGCCCGTTGTAGATTCCAAGTCTGGTTTTCCTTTTCTGATAAAAAAAGAACAAAGCACAATGGGTCAGATACTAGGTTCCTGGCCTCTCATCTGAACAGTTGTTTAAAAACTATCCAGGATGAATTCTGGTTGCTAAATTTTCTTTTAGCAAGAGCTACATGAAAACAAATCACCAAACCATCAAACCATCTAATACTCTTTGGTTAAAACTTTCCATTTGACCTTTGTTTGGGTGCATTTTGGTAGCACCAAGTGACTTAATCGAGAATGTAGCCTCATTTCTTAAATGAAGAAGTCTTGACCTTTCTGCTCATATCACCTATGATTCAATGTACCATGGAAATCTGAGGAAAACAGCTGCAAAAATAAAGAGCTCATTCATCTTTTGGTTTGCATTTTTCTAGCCAGTGAGAATTTGCTTTTCTTATATAGCCATTAAAAGACTTGTAGTTTGCAAGAACATTGGATGTTGGCAAAACTCTAGAGCTATGTAACTAAGAGATTAAAGAATATATGAGGAGGCTCAAGCGGGAGGGGATACATGTATACATTTGGCTGATGCACATTGTTGTTCAGCAGAAACTAACACAACATTGTGAAGCAAATATATTCCAATAAAAATTATAACAGTGACTAAAAAAAAGAATACATGAGAAGAAGATTCACCTGAATACCAAGAGAACAGTGTTACACTCAACAGTAAACACTCTCCATGTTAGTCACATGTGGCCCATCAGCTGTTGAGGGGTCCATGTTTTCAATCAACAGCCTTTTCCATTGCCGTGGTAATTAGCGGGTAGTTGCCCACAACCACTGTATTGTGCCTAAGAGCTTACACATTGGGTAAGTTGTCAATTGGGATAAATTGCCCTACTTTGCTTACTTACTATCTTGAAAGGGACAATTTTGGCAGTGGGAATTGAGAATTCTGACTTTTCCTGGGGAAATGATGACTACTGATAAATATAGGTGGCTCCATTACTGCTAGCTACCAAAATGATCTTAGTAAATGGACCTCGATTTGCTGTATTAAAATCATTATTTGTGTGCGTGTGTGTGTGTGTGTTAGTCACTCAGTCATGTCTGACTCTTTGCGACCCCATTGGTTATAGCCCACCAAGCTCCTCTGTCTGTGGAATTCTCCAGACAAGAATATTGGAGTGGGTAGTCATTCCCTTCTCCAAGGAATCTTCCCGACTCAGGGATTAAACCTGGGTCTCCTGCATTGCACAGGAATTCTTTACCATCTGAGCTACCAAGGAAGCCCCATTACTTCATAGTAGTAAATATTTGTTGAGTAAAGAGCCAACTTACCTCATGTAGTCTGAGGAAGTACAAGACTTAGAAAAGATTCAAGGATCAATAATGTCTTGAGATCTATTATTTTCTTCCCTTTATTTTTTTCTCAAGTACATCTCAGACTGCTTTGCCAAGCCACTGCTGATAACCCTGATTTCTTGGAACTAGAGATGGTTGAAAGGGATCATAAGGGGCCAAAATGAACTTTTTGGTTCGTTTCCATTCCATTCCGTTACGTTTTTCTACATAGCCAAATATTCCTCACTGTTGCTTACCCTGGATGAAGAAAGATCCTCCACAGGCATAATCTTCAGGCTTTATCACAAACACCACAAAGAACTGCTCACCTGGAAAATCTTTCTTCTGCATAAGACATAAAGATAGTGAGAAGAAGGGAGAAAATTCATGGTGGTGGGGGCAAAAAGAAGGAAAGAGAAAAAAAGTAAAGTTCATCCCTCTCACTAACTCCTTAGAAAGGACTCTCACATTCCCATGATCTACTCTAGGTTAGCCATAATAAAATAATTGTTATATCCAAGAAATTATGTAGATACACTCTTCTGATTTCAGTCTGTCTTGTGCCCACTTGAGTGCTTAGAATTGTATAAAATATATGTCAACAGCCTACATATTAAATTCTTCAATAAACTTTTTTAGAGTTGTTTTAGCTTTTTATAGTGGTATAGCTTTTTATAGTGTTTTTATCTTAAAATTCAATGGTAAATGACTTTCTGAAAAGTCATATAGTCAGCAGATAAATTAATTTAGGTCAGGGAAGCAAATACTCAAGTTAGGAGACCTGAGTTATAGTCCTGGCTTTGACTTTCTCTGAGTGAGCTTCTCTGTGTCTCAGTTTGTTATCTATGAATGAAGCATGGTTGACTAGATAATGTTTAAGATCGAGCATATTTACACTATTTTGACTTTATATTATTCCCAAATTTCTGATGTTTAACCTACCGAGAAAATGGCCCAAGACTGAATCAGGAGTCCAGAGAGCTGTACTAATTTATTGCCAAATATATTCAGAGTAAGAAAGTACTGATACACTCTGTACTTCATTAATTTACTGTCCAGATGGTGTAAAAATCTGAGTTTCCTATTATGCTTATTTTTTGTCCTTTTAAATTTGGGACCATATAATGCTGAGGTGCTAAGGGAAAAAATACTCAAACAAGAGCAGATATTTGCAGTATCAAATCTGAGACATTAAAAATTAAAGCCTGAATAATAGAAGTTTTTAGGTCTGATACTTAAATTATAATTAACCTCTCCTCATTCATGGCCTGTTATTCAATAAACAGTATCTCCTTACCTAGAGAACATATCAAATTGCAGGTACCTCAAGTAAATACCACTCTAAAGGCAGGAACAGAATCTCTTTGAAAATATGCTGACATGATGTGTATATATTTTTGCTATAAAATTATCATTAAAACAAAAACTTAATTATAATACCAAAAAGGCAAACTTCTACACAAATGTGATTCATATTCCTTTGAACTTACCCTTTCTGTCCAGAGTTGAAGTTCTCTTTTGGTTACTGTCACTAGTACAAAGTATCAAAATATGTGTCTTTTAAATTGAAATATACTATTTTCAGGTGTCTCAGTGGTAAAGAATCTGTCTGCCAATGCAGGAGAAGCAGGAGATGCAGGTTTGATCCCTGGATTGGAAAGATCCCCTGGAGGAGGGAATGGCAACCCACTCTAGTATTCTTGCCTGGACAATTCCATGGACAGAGGAGCCTGGTGAGCTGCAGTCCGTAGTGTCGGAAAGAGTAAGCAACTGAGCATGCATGCAAACATAGTTGATTTACAATATTGTTTTAGTACAATATATTTAGTTGTTTTAAATTGATCAGATAAGCTTTATGCTATATTGGCACCGCCCTCGCATTGAGTAGACTGGAATCTTTCACCCTTACCTCTGTAAGCAATCTGTCAGACACCTCTCCTGCTGCGTCACAGGTTCCCAAGATTCCCCAAGGGGAACAGGGCACCTGGTAGAGTAGCATTATTCACCAGGTATAGCAATCTTTGTTTTGAAATCAATCAGAAAGGAAAGAGATTTAGCGTACACAGTGAGCGGTAATCCTTAAGGTTTCTGTAAATTCAGTGGGTGACCAAACTGGTTCAGTAGGTAACCTGATTATAAACTTTGTCATTGACGATGATACCCACAGAAGTGATGTCTCACCTGTAGTGTGATGGCAGCTTTCTTAGTCATGGACTGGTAGACACCATTAAATTCCACATTGTGGTCGAGATCATATACTGGGCACTGTCATGTGCATGGGGGATAAAAAGGGAAACATCACTAATGTCATATATACATACCACACATACCACCTGGATCACAGAGGAGGGGGTCCTTACTGAGCCAGAAACCATGAAGAGTTTCCTCCCAGAACAGTCATGAAATAGTTTTCCTAAAATTTGGTGCCTTGTCCTCTGAAGTCAAGGTCACTTTATATTAATATTAAAGAGAACATAAAAGATCTGTCCTAAAGTATATAACACCTTTCCCATATTTTATTAGTACTTTATGAGACAGAAAGGGCCTAATGACACAGCAAAAAATTCAAAACATAGAACAAGCAGTAGGTTTCTGTTTTTCTTGTGCAGTTTACAACTTGGTCTTCCTTATTCTCTGTCACGATCATCCCTCCTTCCCTTCTTTCCTTTGTTCATTTTGGTGAAGAGTCAATGTCTCTCTATCTCCCCAGATCAATGTCTATAAACACATACTGTGCACTTATGTGCACAAGATACAGCTTTTAGTATTTAGCAGTCTTGTCAGCAGTACAAAGTAAGAGGATGAAATGGTGCTCACGCTATCATTTATCCTGAGACAATATAAAACTCCATATTGGAAGGTTGACAAGTTATGAAACTCACCATGATATTCTGGACTGAGACAACAGAGCATGGATAAGCCAATGTAGACACGACTTTAATGATAACTGAGTCTACGTCTTCAGGAAATTTGTACAGGAAATACTGAGAATTAAAAAAAAAGATAGGATTTGTTAATGCTAAGAAATGTTTAGTCACAAGCTATTTTCTCATGAATAAGGTGGTTTCCTCTAATATGAGGCACAAAGTTCAGATGTAAATCTCAGTAAGCCTCCAGTAATTCAGCCAGCCATTCATCTCTTGCATAATGAGCAGATGCTCTGTGCAGGGCTCAGATACTAGGAATACAGCAATGAGCAAGACAAAGGAGCCATTTAATACAACATTGCTGTATCATTTTTTATGATATTTATTCTCAACTAAAGTTTGCTACACTTCATTCCAATTTCAACTTAAGAAGATCCCCCCACCCTTTAAATCAGAGATATGTGAAATGTTATAGGAAACAAAGTTTACCTCTATGTGGTCATTTTGAAATAAGAACTCTTCCTTGAAAGGCAGACAAGCTTGTTCTTCAAGAATCTTAACTACCTTCCCATAGGCAAGGATTAGCACTACACCCACCTTTCCCCTAGACTTTTTTTTTTTTTTTTTGGCCAAAGAATCTATTTCCTGGCTGGAACTCAGTGAGATGACATTTAGATTCAAAGACCAAGCCCTACATCTAGGCTCCTGAAATATGTTCACAATTTTGTGCAGGCTAAGATATCTTTAAAGGTATTTCTCAAATATCAGAATAAGGAAACTAGATTCAAAGACCAAGCCCTACATCTAGGCTCCTGAAATAAGTTCACAATTTTGTGCAGCGTAAGATAACTTTAAAAGTATTTCTCAAATATCAGAATAAGGAAACATTTATAATAGAGGTTATACTATTTACCTACTTAGATTATCAATTCACCAGAAAAATTCATTAACTCTAAGGCTATGGTTTTTCCAGTGGTCATGTATGGATGTGAGGGTTGGACTGTGAAGAAAGCTGAGCACCGAAGAATTAATGCTTTTGAACTGTGGTGTTGGAGAAGACTCTTGAGAGTCCCTTGGACTACAAGGAGATCCAACCAATCCATCCTAAAGGAGATCAGTCCTGGGTGTTCATTGGAAGGACTGATGTGGAAGCTGAAACTCCAATACTTTGGCCACCTCATGCAAAGAGTTGACTCATTGGAAAAGACCCTCATGCTGGGAGGGATTAGGGCCAGGAGGAGAAGGGGGCGACAGAGGATGAGATGGCTGGATGGCATCACTGACTTGATGGACATGAGTTTGGGTAAACTCTGGGAGTTGGTGATGGACAGGGAGGCCTGGTGTGCTGCAATTCATGGGATCACAAAGAATCGGACACGACTGAGCGACTGAACTGAACTGAAGTTTTAAACATGTTGCTAATAATGAAGAAAGGGGACTTCTTCCCAGTAATTATAAATATAGTAACTGGTTGAGAAGCTTGACATGAAATACATAATTAAGACTGAGGAAAACCAGACAAAGATGCCACAAACAAAAGAAAACTACAGGCCAATATCACTGATGAACATAGATGCAAAAAATCCTTAACAAAATTCAGCAAACAGAATCCAACAACATATTAAAAACATCATACATCATGTTCAAGTGGGCTTTATCCCAGGGATGCAAGGATTCTTCTGTATCTGCAAGTCAATCAATGTGATATACCACATTAACAAATTGAAAGATAAAAACCATATGATTATCTCAATAGATGCAGAGAAAGCCTTTGACAAAATTAAACATCCATTTATGTTAAAAACCCTCCAGAAAGCAAGAATAGAAGGAACATACTTCAACATAATAAAAGCTATATATGTGGTACATATACACCATGGAATATTACTCAGCCATTAAAAAGAATTCATTTGAATCAGTTCTAATGAGATGGATGAAACTGGAGCCCATTATACAGAG